CATGCTAAAGATGTGTCATAAGAGAGAGCTGTGTTATGTTATACATATGTGTGTTCGTTCTCTTTCTTCCTTTCTTTCTTTACATATATATGCATTTCTTGCGTTCTCTTTCTTTCTGTCTGGTATTTTTCCATATTCTTCTCTGTTGGATTGTTCCTTCTTTTGTTTCATTGTGATCGCTCAGGTATATTCCATTATCGCCTATATATATATCCTTTACATTTGTGTGTAAAAAAAGGGTGTGTGGTGTTAGTTAGTGTCATCTTAGTCTTGGAATCAACATCATATACACAAGAACGTGTTATGGATCTAACAAACTTTTGCTTGCTCATGTTCTTTTTTCTTCACCTTCAGAGGTTTTGAGAAAAAGAAAAACTGCTTACTCATCGACTACAATATATTTAACTAGAAATAATTCTTCTTTTACATTAATATATTTTCGAAATGTAAAATTGTTTTATACTTCTGAGACGGGGACTTGTATTTTCCCCAATTCCTGTTTTCGGTAAATTGGCGAATTTCCCCATGATATTTGCCATTCTGAATGAGTTGACTTGTAACTCAACTATAGTACTTCATATGTAAACCGATCAAATTGTATCACTTAAGATGTACGGAAGTACAATAGTGAGAAAGTACCATTGACGAAATCCTTGAAAACATTCTATAATAATCTACCATTACCATTACATTATTTACTAAGCATCCACTTTAAATATACACAAGGAAAAAGCTGTTAGCGCAATCCCTACGGGATTAAAATGTGAAACACGATCAAGGTGCTTACATTGTAAACTAAGAACCTACAAACGTATTCGTCTCGGTGTGTGATGGAATGGAATATGTTGCTAAGGATGTCTGTTACGTCTGTGTGCGGAGACTGGGAATGGCATCAAATTTCTACCTATATACTTCAACACTCCTTCTAGATTGTGTTTTACAAAATAAGAACTAGATATTGATAAGCCACTATGGATAGAACTTAGCGATCAGCAAGAGATATAAGGGGTAAAGCATGGAGATGAGTGAGCTACACGCAGATTTAAAGTGTTAAGGACAGAAATAAGACGCTAGATATAGTTTCAGTGGCTTAGACACAGATTTAATAGATTAAGGATCAAAATAAGGGTGTTATATACAGAACTACGGGTTGAGATATTAATTTATCTTTAACTTTTCTCTGAAATAAAGATAGAAATAAAGAAAATCTTTGTTTTTCAAAAACACAGAAAATTAAACGAAAAAGGGAAGTTGTCTTTTATGATAAAATATTCAGTAAAAAGAAGGTTGCAATGTAATACGATTGTCAATTAGATGAACTCAACCATACATGGAACTTTTTCGATTTGAAAAGATGAAATGAAAGAATTCAGAAAACGTGTTAAATAGAAAGAGATGGGACGCTAAAGTTCTGTTTTATAAATTATGCTACAATATCGTGTTATTAGATTATTTTATTTCATAAAGACTTTTTAGAAAGCCACATTATATGACTCTTGTGAATATTGACAGTTGAGAATCATATAAAATAACCTAATAACATGTTATTGTAACATAGTTTGTAAAACAGAAATTTCAGCGTGCCATCTTTTTAGATTTAACGTATTTTCTCAATTCTTTCATTTCATGTTTTAGATTTGAAAACATTCCATATATGATCAAGTTCATGTAATTGACGATCATATTGCATTGCAATCTCCTTTCTACTGAATATTTTATCATAAAAGACAGCTTTTCTTTTTCCTTCCCAGATCCACCGTGACAACGATCGTAAATGACAGTCTCTTGCTGTTTACAGTGAGATCCAGTCGTAATACAGCCCTATTCTGACGGATGCGAAAGTACATACCAACGTTTACGATCATATGTTGACGTAATTCATCATTTTCGAAAGGAACCCATGACGCTGATTACGGTTGCCATGACGGTCAAAAACGATAACGTATACTACCGTTTTATACAGTTAACGGCCGTAATTAGCCGTAAGTTGCCGTTTTACTATGCACCGTATTACGACCGTATTTTGTCGTCGTAAACGGCTAATCGTGACCGTAATACGGTGCATGGTAAAATGGCGAAAACGATGAAGAACGGCCGTTTAAGATCGGGCTTGTTTGACCTGAGAATAAACAATGAAAATATCTTTATCAATTAATGCCTTTAAACACTTTTCTTCTAGAGAAATGTCTTTTTCAAGAATTAAAACTACCTTATATGAAGGTATCATTAAAAGAAAGGCCTTTAACTGTCAATTTTTTAAGCTAAAAAGTGAACTATTCGCCAAATAACTTTTGGCACATAGAAACATAATCGAATAATCGATATGAAACATCGGAGTCAGTATAGTGAGCTCCAGTAGGTGCAGGATGTTAGATTCCACACAGAGCATATAAAGAAAATAAAGTTAAGGAATTGTAGTCTTCATCTTGTCGATAAAGATTACTTTGATCAGTATACTCGTCAATCACAGTTAAAAAGTTAAATGCTTTTTTCATGAAGTTAGCTATTTCTCTATGTAAAATCACCTTCTATCACGGTGGTTGCGAAACAGGCCTATAAAGGTCTTGTTTGTAATAAAGTCAGTTGTTCCTCTACGTTGTTTCAACTTATATTAAGACGTTTGCAAATAAATATGGTCTTTTTTATTTTAGATTGAATTTTGCGAAAACGAATGACCCTCTTCTTTCCAAATAGCGAAGGATTAGAGGATCTAAAAACATCAGCCCTTTCACTACATCTAGGCGGGGTTGCAAACCTACCAAGCATACAACTACCATTCCACATCAAGCATATCTAAGGTTCGCAGACGCATTTACTTCAATCATGTCAGTCTAGAGCACCTAAACAGTAGCCACAATTATTACTTACGATATACTCTACAGATGCCCATATTTATATTCATTCAGGAGCAAGGGACTAGGGGGAATAAGAATTCTGTATCACTTGAATTCATTCCTCTATACCTCTAGTCCTCTCTTTTTTCTTGGGATGGCACTAAGGGGACTACTCTCTAAAAAAAATCAGCTTCCTAGCAAACCCAAACGACTTCGGATACCCTATCGAAAACCCTTTAGAGTTTCCGGGATATCCTCTTGATTTCCGGATGCTCGAAAACCCTTTGGCTTTAGAGAATGCCGATTCGGATACCATAAAAGTACCCTCGGATACTTTTATGGTATTGAGAGCAACCGTAAAAGTATATTAGGAAACCCACATTACTAGTAAAATCGATTTTCTACCACAACAGGTATTCAACAATACCATTTCGGTTTTCGATGAAACACTTCGGAAAACGAAAGAGTTTTCGAGGCTTCTACATCTCAAAAAAGTATATTGGAGAACCTAAATAGGCTTCCGAATTTTTTGAGACATTCCAAGATTTTCGAAGTTTCGAAAGTCCTCGAAAACTGTTTTCCTTAAGTGATGTTAGAGTCAAAAACCTATTTGAAAAAAGCATGGTTGGTATCGGAATTTCTATCTTGCCTTTTTCATTTCAACGGTTTTTAGAATACTTGAAGCGACTATGTGTTTGTCACAAGACATGTGCTTGTCGATGATTGCTGCTTGGCATGAATATATTTTTAAACATATTCATTTCATTTTCTCAAAATAATCAAACATCATTCTTACATTGTTAATTCAACTGAAGTTGTCGGTATAGGACGAAAAAATATAGCCTTGACAAAACTCAAACCATTGAATAACAACATTAGCTCCAGAATTTGTCTTTTCTCTTCGCTGTTTTGATAAAATGAGAATGATAACATTTAGATGAAGATAAAGTAACTGCAGTGAAGCTGAGATACTCAAGAGAGAAATCTGGAAGAAAAATAATAAAAACATCCAACAACGCAATTATCAGAAAGAAATACGTTAAAAAAAAGTAAGCTATACTAGAAACAGCCAGAAAGATATGTACGTTTTTATTTTCCTAGACATCAATCATACAAGATACACCTAATGAAATACAACAAATGGAAGAAAAAGCTGAAATACTTAAAACAAATTTTCAAAACAAATCAAGTGATGATCAACATTATCAACAATTATGGCTTGAAACTTTTGATTATTGACAAAATCTTTTTTAGCAAAACACAACTGCAGATATTATGAAACGATATCCTGTGTATTAAAATCCATCTATGGTAAAAGAAATACAACACTTTCAGTATCACATTTTTGTTTCAGATATTGACAGATGTTAAACTCTTAACAAGTGCAGATTTAAATCATTCTGTTAAGTTTACCAAACAGTCATTTTATTTATTAGATGATTCAATTGTTCGTTATTTTAAAGTATTATGTAGTATACTAAATGACTCATGAAAACATTATATTTACTTTTATTCTGATGTAAGTTATCTGTATATTTTTTAAATTTTCTAAAATATCGCGAACATGAAAAGAATCCAAGGCGTTATAGTGAGTTTTGGTCTTGTGTTCTAGTCAGCTAGATTGTCTTCTTGGCTTGATTGAAAGATATTGCTTATTACTTTAGTTTTTCCTTATTTCTGACTACTACAGACTTTCTATCAATGCTGTGATTCTTTAGTTTATACTTTCTTAAACGTGGGGATATTAGCTGGCCATAAATGTTGTTCGATCAATCAAGTAATATAAAGTATCATGAACAATATAGATGTGTCTATAAAATTGATTTTATATCAGTAATTTTGACACATGAAAAATTTCTTCTGTTTGACTTCGACATAATCTCTTATTACACAATAAAGAGAAGTTCTTATTGCATTCATTTTCTCTAAAACTTATGCTTTTTAATTTACCTCGATTGATCTGCTGATTCTTTTTAGAAACCAGCTACTCCTCAACCAACAATGGTATTTGAAGACAATGATATAAAGATTTACCTTCATTGGACATTCATTTGATCATCAAATTCTATTGAACAGTCTGTTGCACTGATCATTGGTATATATTGTTTTATGAAACTCACATTTCAAACATATCGTACTGCAGTGAGATTTTTATATGTCTATTTCATGAACGATAAGCAACAACAGTCAAATATCATTCGCAATATTTGTAAAGTATATAACATTCAACTTCTTGATAATCCTTCTTCATCATCTATTGCATCGTTGGAACAAACAGAAATTAATGATGTTTATTTAACTAACAGAATTGAAAACGAGAAAGAACAAAACATGTCTAATGAAATTCAAATGAAAACACCAATTGAACCAACACAATTTGAACAGCAATCAACTCAGAGACGTAAATCAGATGAAAAACTGGACTCTGAGCTTTTATCTCATGAGATTGATTTATCAAAACAAAAACCAACCCGAAATCACCGTCCACAACGACGTCGACAATGAAGATACACTCACACCGACAACAAAAACTGTTTTATCAGCTCTCTCTATCTCTTCTTTTATCATGAAGGGTTCACCGTTTTCGTTATTTTTCTTCTAAAAAAAAGGCATTCATTCGTTTCTCCTTCTACGTCTTTTTTAAACTATTCATTTACCGAGAGAGTTTGTTTTATCAACATATGGAAGATATTCATTCATGGAATTTAATTCGTTTCGTATTCCTCCATATTTTTTTAAAGCTTTTGATTCTTCTAATCAACCATGCTTCGCCATCATCAACATTTTACAATTCTTATTGCAAGTGCGCCAGAAATTTCCACCAATAACTTAGCTAGTCTCAAACATTTTCTTCATAATCAAACAGCGACACACATCCTAATAAAAAGGTCAACAAAATGCTCTGGTTCAAAAATACAAGCTCAACGAAGTGCAATATCAGAAAACATGCACAAATCCAAGTATGCCTCTTCAGTTTCTGTTAAAACGTTAACTAACAATAATTGATATTGATCTTTACTATTTACAATCAATCCGATGGAAATCACTTGCAAGTTCTATTGAAACTATTATATAATTCTATTTTTTTTAATTTTTTATGCATCAAATCAGAATCCATTCGTACATTCTATTCACACTATCATATATTTTTATTTTGTTCTTTATGATCCATCAAATAAAAATCATTTATGCGTGCGATTCGTATTACAACATATTTGTTGTTTCATTTGAAATTCATCGCATGCAAATTCATTGTAAGTTCTTCTCCGACTATTGTATATTTGCATTTCTTTTTTTATTTGCAATCAACGAAATGACAATGCACCTTTGAGTTTATTTCAAATAATTGTATATTCTATTTCTTTTTCTTTTTTGAGATCACCCGATGCAGAATCCATCGGTGAGTCTTTTTTTATGATTGTATAGAATTCGTTTTTATTTAGGTTGAACGAAATCACAATCGATCCATGAGTTCTATACAAAGTACGTCCTACTCTTATATGTGCATTTATAATGAATGAGAGGAAAGGTCGTATGTGAGTGCTGCTGAAGTTATTCTTGAATTTCTTGTTTAACATTTAGTTTTAACTCAAGGTGTGAATTTTAGTCGTGTATTTAATTTTTTTGTTTAGGTTGTGATTGAAAAATATTGGGATGAAAAACGATATCAGACGTAGTGGTCAGTAATGATCGGCTGGTGAATGTCTCATCGTATGACATTTCGGTGTAGTGTTTTTCGGGTCGTTTTGTTGGTGGAAACATTTTTTTTGTTCTCTTGTCATTCGGCATGGATAGCTGTGCGCGCAGTTTATGAACCTCGGAAACTTTTAATGGGTTTCCAGGAGTAGTATGTAGTATTTCATTATGATGGGTTTCGGATAGGTTTCCGAACCTTTGGAAACCCATTCTCGGAAACCCTTTAGGGGTTTTCCCAGATACCTTTTTTTAGAGTGTAGAGGAAGATATTCGATATTTAAGTTATGCATAATCTATTACTGAGTCAAAGGTCAAAAGCCATAGATTAACGATGAAGGCCAGCGGCTGATGAATGTCTCAAGCTGAAAATATACAACTCTTCATACAACAATCTAATGAATGACACCTTCGCTCTCCGAACACCAAAGAGTGAGAAGTATATCCCATGAACAGAACTCCATAACAGAATATATGGAGCTGAAAGACCGAGACAACAATATGTCACATGAAAGAGACAATAGAGAGAGCATGGCATGTTACAGAGGGAAGGACCGCATATCTAACTACATGACAGTTAAAGAATAACCTTAAAAAAAGCAACCGTGTAGTTAGCACGAGGTCTGGCTAGTGTGATATATTGTTGTCTCTGTCTTTCAGCTCCATGTATTTTGTTATGGAGTTCTATGCATGTGATATGCTTCTCACTCTTTGATGTTCGGAGAGCGAAGGCTTCATTCATTAGATTGTTGTATGAAGAGTTGTATAAATTGAGCTTGAGACATTCATCAGCCGCTGACCTTTATCGTTAATCTATGGCCTTTGACCTTTGACTCAGTAATAGATTATGCATAACTTAAATACCGAATATCTCCCTCTAGGCAAGCCAATGGTAGCTAATATTGTAACCTTGTTAATTCGGCGGTGAGAGCTTTCATTTGACCCAAATATGTCCCATCTCTTTAGCTGACAACACAAATACCTTCATTGTGAGACCTTTTTGCAAAAAGGATTTAAATTCTCACCTGACACAATTTTTAAGTGTACAGGTGTAGCAAGGTAATTATAGGTTATCTTTTGTCACTATATGTAAGAGATAGACTACCTGCCTGTCTAATTGCGTAAATGTTGATTCGTCTGAATAGTAATTGATTTTCAATGATTTATAATTCAACTTACTTCCACCGGTGTTGAGATACAGATGAACTGAAGTGTGCGAAGACGCTGATATTTATGTGGTGGAGTCCATCAGGAAGTGAATAGTCCTTCCGTAGTGTATGACGTAGCGAGCCGTAGTAGTGGAAAGATCTTTAAAGTCACAAAATATTCAGATGCAGTGTTTTTTTTTTTGAATATACGCGAGCGACTTCGTCAATCGTAGATGGCCGCCGTGGACTGATATTTGTGCTTAAGGTAACGATTACCTGTATCAGATGTTTCATGTAAGCTTGTAAATGGTTACGAATATCATTTTTGAGAGTGGTTTTGAAAACGTTTTTGGAATAAGGTCTCCTCTTCCTTCAAGGAGGCCAGTTTTCGTTAGAATAGTCGAAATGGAGATAAACACATTGGAAGATATTCCGAAGTCGGATCTTTTAGGAACAATAAGAGTTTTTATTTCATATGTGGCTTTTTTTGATGATTTTCGGATTTTTTTCTGGAAAAATATGCTTTTTTCAAAGAAAACCACAAATGTATTTTGTTTTTTTTCTGCTTAAACTTTTTAGATCGCGCATCCTAATTCTCTTTTGGCATTCGTTCTATATATACAGTTCCTTTTTTTATTTAGCTTTGATTTTAATATATACACAGACACTTGTTAAAATTGAACGCCATTTTTGAGAATTTTTTGAGACCTTCAACTTTCACTCTCTTTTAAATAAAAAGTAAGATTTTAGAAAAGGATTCTGTCATGCCTTGTATCCTGGCATGCTCTTTCAAACAAAAGAGTTAAATATATTCAATAACTGTAGACAGATAAATTGGGGTTGCTCGAATACAGCTCAAACAAATCTCCCAAATCTTGTGCGATTTGCATGTGACTGGAACAAGATCGAATTTTGAGAAAAAGGACTTTTGCCTTATCCTGGTCCTAACCTAAAATGAATACTAAAGTATTGAGTTGAATTTTCTAACTCTAAAACAAGGCCATTAAACTATTCTTTGAAACATACAAAAGTGTCGGCATCTATATATCGATAATCAATAGTTTTACCAGTTTAGATATATAAATAACGAATTAGGCATAGGTATCAAGAGTTAAGGGTATAGAAGTAAGGTTTTTGATATAAGTATAAGGGATTAGGTATAAAAATAAGGAATTAAGGTACAAATAAATGGTTAAGGATTGATTTAGAGGATTAGATATAGAAATAAAAGGTCAAGATAGAAATAAGACGTTAAGAATACATTTAGGGGTTAAGTATAGAGTTAGAGATTAAATACAGATGCAGGGAATTAAGCATAGAACCAGATGTTAAAGAGAGAATTAAGAAGTTATATACAGTTTTTGGAAAGTTTATATGCAAATATGCGGTAGTAATAGGTATAGAAGGGTAAACGCAGGCATAAGGTGTAGCTATAGGTATTCACAGGTCGATAGAAGTAAGCTTTGATAGGATGTACACCATTTGAACAGTATTATATTGAACATCGTACGAAACTCGGAGTACAAAATCTTTTCTGAAGGTAACGAAAAATAGGGTTATACGAAATCTTGATCACGACTCCTTTTTAAAGCTAACGTAAAATAGTGTTACACGAAACCTTTGTCATACGAAACCGAAAAAAGGTTTAGAATTCGTTGCAAACTTCTAAACCTTTTTTTGGTTTCGTATAGTCCGTTTTTCATTTTCAGTGTAGTAGATGACAATTTAATTCAGTCTTAAATTTCGATTGCAGTTTAAATCTACAAGTGCAATAAATGTGTCTAATCTAAACTTTTTCTGGAATTCAAATAATCAGAATTTATATTTTAAATAACAAAATTAAACTATGAGAAAAAGAAACTTGGAATATTTTTTTAAAATTATTTTTAATTTCTTTTGCACATCTAATAAATTTTAAAATAATAAATTGACAATTCTCGATAAAAAATAAGAATTGAACTTCAATACTTCTTATGTTTTTTTTATATTATCGGTATATTTTTTCATTTGTAAAATATAAAAGTACAAAAGATGATGAGATGTATCTAGGTGCAGATATACAAAACATGATGTCTATCGTTGACTTCAGTATTGATTTCAAAGGACTTTTCTGATTGCCATTCTAATTGTAAAACAAGTCAATAGCATTAGTGACAACCTACATCTATATTGGTATCAATATAATACTTGTCATTAATTTTCGCCTCGCAATATAGCGAAGGATTCATAACTATCAATCATGAAGTTCTTAGTACAAGATAAACTGCGAAATTATTGTTACTGCAGTATGTTGTCATGTTCAGAATGTATGCAATTATCCATAGAATATTTCTAAAATGATGCAAAATTAAAAAGTTCCTTGTATTACATTTTTTTTCTTTCCATTATTGATCAGTTCAAAATATCTCGCAAAAGTTCCATCTCAATAAACTGCTTGTTTGGAGTTTTTAGAGTCTGGACTAATATTGACAGTACATTCTGAGAAAAACGGACTAGACATGGCACGTATAGATGACGCTTTAGACTAGTCCTGACCACCACCGAAGACATTTCGGACTAGTCAAAGTCGCTTGTTTCCGATTGATTTCCAGTTTTTAGCAGACGGACAGGAGTCTCTCTACGATTTAGACTGTATAAAACGACGCCAGTCCATTTCTACGTCAT